TAAATAACTGATTACCTGTGCAGGATTCTTCATTGGAAAACATCCCAAATTTCCAAAATGGAGTCCATTTGCTGGTTTGTTTGTTTTCTCTTACTCTGTATGTCTCCTCATCAACAGATTGAATAGGGCAATTTGCTTTTGTTCTTCCCTCTGACCCTTCCCCACTGTTTTTCTTTTCACTTGGACCTGGTTAGGAAAATATTGACATTGAAATAATTAATTCATTCTATATAAACAGTCTTTAAAAATACTAAAACGTTTCAAATGCTTCACATTTTCTCCACAAAAATAGCCACAAAACAATAATAGATTGGTACAGTTGTCAAAAACATAATCTCTTCTTAAATTTAAGAAGAGGTGATGATGGGGTTTTCTGGTGGAACTGCACGTATTTCTGTTCAATGATGAAAAGAAATATCGAAAACAGAATATTCAGCAGCAATCAGTGAAGCAGTTTGTTAGGCACAACCTGCCAGTAACTGGTCATGAGTGCAACTGAGTGGGAGCAAAAAATTATTTCTCACTGTTATCTATGAGTGCACAGCAGTGCCTGTGGATGCGGGCAATACCTCAGAAACCACCAGGTAACTCAAAAGTGTATCCCCCTTCATAAAATTTATGCACTGCTTGATTGTAAGAAACCTCAAAGTGGTTTTGCATACATAAAAAATTAAAATTAAGGAAAAAATACAACCCTACTTTAAAGCAACAAGATCCTGGGAATGGATAATACAGTGGTACCCAGGGTTAAGTACTTAATTCGTTCTGGACGTCCGTTCTTAACCTGAAACTGTTCTTAACCTGAGGCACCACTTTAGCTAATGGGGCCTCCCGCTGCGCCACTGGAGCACGATTTCTGTTCTCATCCTGAAGCAAAGTTCTTAACCTGAAGTACTATTTTTGGGTTAGCGGAATCTGTAACCTGAAGCCTATGTAACCTGAAGCGTATGTAACCCGAGGTACCACTGTAATAATAATAACAATTTATTATTTATACCCCATCTGACTGGACTTCCCCAGCCACTCTGGGCAGCTCCCGACAGAATGGATCATTTCTTGTCCTCTGTTGTGTGCATTTCCAGAGACAATATGTAACCACCTTGCATAATTAGACCAGCTCTACAATTTTATGCTTATAAAGGTACACCTACTATAAAACTGCAGGCAAATCAGTCTAGGGTTGTTGTTTTTACTATGTACCTTTAAAACTGAATTTTGGGGAGTAAATTTGCTGCGCTGGGAAAATAACGTGGAAAAAAACTCAGAAGGATAGAAGCAGTGGCTAAGAAGTTATGGTGAATGGGGGAGATGCTTCAGGCTTGTATTCTGCTTAATTGGTACCAAAGGTCACAGAAACAAAGTGTAAAAATGTTTTGACAGGAGTGGATATGTGGCACAGAGGCAAATGGATTTGAATGTTCAGCATTTTCCAAGCAAGCAGCACTAGCAGAACTAGTGGTGAATATACAACCAACAATAACCAAGTGATAACATTACATCAACACCCCTGCCACCATAGTACTGTGATTCGAGAGCCCTGGTAAAACCCTTCCTTCTCACTGGAAGCTAGATCTGTCAGTCAGTCCCACAAGAGCTTTTGCTCTCCCTCATCTCTCCAAGTTGGTGTTTTTCTTATATGACAAGTTTGGGGAGAAATATTCTGCACATTTTTCATTTTAAACAATCTGAATTTCTGAAGTGCTGCAAGCCACTTTGGAGCTTCCATTTCAGTTCAGGGTTATTATGAAGAGATACCACTTAAACTCAGACAAGCCCTGAATCTGCCAGAAGAGGCCTTGCTTTAGTTCTTGAGGCATGATTCATTCTTTCAAAACCTTTGCACACCCTGTAGTACACTCTCATCCCAAGACTTTGAACGGAGCCTGGTGTACATAAAACTATGCAAAAAGGACTCTGTTTACAGCAGGCATAGGTAAACTTGGCCCTCCAGATGTTTTGGGACTACAACTCCCATCATCCCTAGCTAACAGGACCAGTGGTCAGAGATGATGGGAATTGTAGTCTCAAAACATCTGGAGGGCCGAGTTTGCCTATCTATGCCTGGTTTACAGCTTGCTTTCTGCAAGGATCCTGGCCATATGGAAGTGCATTTACATATGAAGGGATCTGTTCAGACCTTCCAATGAATGCACAGAAGGTTGGATCATGAATAGCATATATGATACCACCCTTGTATATTTTTGCAACCTATCTCATTGAAGGTATGGGCAGGCATATCTCCTTCAGATTTATGTAATCTAGCTGTATCCACCTTTTTCTTTTTCAAACACAAACCATCAATGCTTGTCAATCTTCTGAGTAGACAGTCTGATGAACGTAGCAGTTTCATAAATTGATTTTATCAAGTTAAACCTATGGTAAATCTGAGCTACCATCCTTCTCAAACTGTGGACAGAAAAAAGAATCATCAAAGCCAGTTTCTTTCTGTAGGGATTAATTTAAAAGACAACTGCACTGATAATTAAAAATTCCAAAACTTTCAGTAATTTCAAATATATTTCAAATCCTTTTTTCTTCTTTTTTAAAAAGTAAATACATTGAATGGTATTAGAAAATAATCCTCAAGCATATATTATGTTTAATGGAAGCTATGGAAGCCACTATGTCAGAAGAGTTCAGGACAGTATTTTCAATCTCTCAATATTGTTTTATTAAATCTCAAATGAATTTCATATCTTTTATTACTTGTACCAGCCATCACTATATTTCATTTTCTGCAAGGAGGTTACATATTGTCTCTGGAAATGCACACAACGGAGGACAAGAAATGATCCATTCCCAGGCAAGATCAGATATTTCTATTCTTCAGAAAGCTATTAAAAACTACTACCCAGATGATATTTGTCCTTGTCTTTCATTCTCAAGATGACAATATGATAGGACAGGGTGGTACGCTATTTGGATCAAAACACAGTGCTCCCAAATCTTTTTTTCTGACCAATAGGGAACCAGAATAAGTGGCTAAGAGTAAAAATGACCATATTTTGGACTCCCCACTTATTAGCAGGGGCGAAATGTTTATTGGGAATCTGTAGTCCATCAGTGGATCATTTCAGATACTTATCTAGACTGAAGATATATTAGCAAGTCCTCATGGAAGTGCATACATGTGAACAAATTCTATCTTTGTATGGCTACCAGGGACATTCTACGGAAAAAAAGATGGTGGCCCACATAGGTATATGGGAGCGGTCATCTTTCTTCCCATATGAAGGGTCTGCATATTATCAGATCCATGCATAAGGGGCAAAATTGGAAGGTTTGCTCCAAAATATAGAGAAAACTGGATTCTTCCCCAACCCTACATGCAACATCACTTCCATGAAAGTGATAGTTTAACAGATGAACATTTGGACAATGAAATGTGGCAGATTATGCAGGTTTTGTTTGCTTTGATTAAACACACATTCAGTCTCGAAAGGAAAGGAAAAATATTTTTTAGCAGGTTAAAGTATTTTGATTCATATGTAGATGGGGAGAAAAAAAATCCCTCACTGAATACAGATGTTTGATAGTCAGATCCTCCCGTCCCAACTTTCTGTGAACACTGATCCTGGTTATGATGTTCCCACCTTTCTGGTATAGCAACCTTTTAAAGGAGGTGGGATCCATCTGCATCACATACATGTTTGTTCATTTGAAAAACAACAAAACAAAACCTCATCCTCTATTATGTTTCAATCAGGTGTGCTTGCCCCCACCCAATCATTTCAGCTTGTTTTGTGGCCCTCACATTTTAGATTCTGGTTGGGCTGCATTACTTGTCAGGTTGACGAAAGGATGTCATCCATCACCAGCTTCTATTTTCTGCTTTATAAATTTTGATGCCTCAAAATGAATTTTGCCAAGACTCGTCTTTTTGCCTGCTCTAACAACTGTGATTATTACCATGTTTCAGAAAACAAAACTGCACATTCTTTCCTCTCAAATGCTGAGCACAACAACTTCAAACTGCTGATTGGGATAACCTCAGGTAACTATTGGTAATCTAATTTCAAATATCCTTTTTTCTAATAGAATGAAGGCTAAACTGAATGTGACCCAATACATTGCTAGGAGACCAGGAATATATCAGAAATCTAGACATTTCTGCCTAACCCTTTCAAAGTCTCCACCTGGGACTCTCAGTTTCTGTGAATAAAATAAAATACTCATTTTAATTTAATAACGTATTTTTATACTTATATACACCTCCTATTCTTTGTGTTCCATAATGACTTGAAGCAACAAAGGAAGAAGCACTATTATGGCAATGATTTTACTAAATTACACAAAAACTAAATAGCCCTACCCCTATTTCTTAATGTCAGAAATATATGGCCACAACAGTCTACAATGCCACAGGAAGTCATAAGAGTCTAAGCTCTGCAAAATACATATTTTTGAAAGGAAAAGAAACTCCCCCCAACCTCTGTTAAATTTATAATACATAATAGATGTCAAGTCCCAATAGTTATTGCCTGGATTCATATGCATATTTTTCTATTGCCTAGAAAATGACTAGAAATATGTACATATTAAATATCTGTGTACCACTCATTGCTCAGTTCTTCTTCTGTGTAGTTTATGCCATTGCTATGGATATTACTTATACAAGTGCTACTTATTTTACATATGCTTTATTTTATTGTACCAATAGGAAATATGAAAGTGTTTTTGGGCTTTGTGTTTTTGCTTTATTACTACAATTTAACAGCAGTGTTGTAGAACACGTTGTTTTTAAACATATATACATGAAGGAGCATATCCTACAAAACCAATTGTCACGTACAACAAACTTATCTACACCTGAACAGACTTATTTCCTTAGGTGTTTCTCTGTACTCCTTTCCAGATGTTCATTTGACCACGCAAATCTATTGCAGAATAGGAAGCTGCCTTATACCAAGTTAGACTTTCGGTCCATATAATTCAGTATTGCCTACACTGATTGGCAGCAGCTCTCCAGAGTTTCAGGCAGGGATCATTCACAACCCTACTTGGAGAGGACTAGGACTGAACCTGGGGCCTTCTGCATGCAAAGCAGATGCTCTACCACTGAGTTATGATGACTCCCCAATTATTCCTTCCATCCACCATTCTAGGAGGTTTGTGCACTCTTTCTGATGCTCAAGCAGGACCACCTTTCTCCATTTGGCCTGCTGATCGAGTAATGGACAGGAATAGGCAGGAGGATGGTGGTGTTTTAAACACTCAGGGAGCTGCCACTGCTCACCACACTGCTTGCTCCCTTCTTCGTTCTGTTGGCTTCATCTTCTCCTGTGACTGCCATGTCCGATTTCATCACAACTGCACAGCTTGAATGGACAGAATTGCCTGAAGTGCTGTTCGGGACAGGGGTGGGACCTGTCTTTTAATGAGGGGAGAGGGAAGTGTGACCCAAGTGGAGGACACTTGCACCCACCTAGAGGCAAGTTTAAGAGAAAGGGGAACTCCCTCAGGCACCTGCATTTCCACAGAAATATGGAGTTAGCTCTACAGATGATTCCCAGGAGTATAAAGAACAAGCAACTGAAATTTTATAAAATAGATTTGGACAAGAAACATGCAACAGTACCACTATTACTTTTACCATCCTCATAATCCTGCTGTTTAGCTGCAAATAACTCTTGTCAGTTAATATCTGTTAGATGAACCAAACTTAGTTTGCATATTTTCTGGAACATAAGGCAGCCACCTAGTGCTGCTTCAACCAGATGTTGTTATGATGCCTATATAGCATCCTCAACAAATGGCTTATCTACATAACAAATGAAAATAGATTTGGTTCCAATCCAGCAATTGTGCTTCCATAGAACAGATTTTCCTGCACAGCAGAGGGTGGGAATAGATGACTCTCTGTGTCCCCTCCAACTCTACAATTCTATAATTCTGTGATTTAGTAGGGATGTGCATTGGATCTGTTTGTACCCCAAATAAAAAGGCAAAATTAGGGTGATTTGGGACAGACTCAAATTCCTGAACAGGATCTTGCTGTTAGCAAGGTATTTAAGGAAAGGTCAGGAATGCCAACATCTTCTGAGTAGCCTCTGTTGCCTCTGTTTTTCCAAGTAATTTAAATGCAGAAACACTCCCCATCTTTTCCAAGAAATGAAACCAAGCTGATGGGGGAACTTGGGATAGAAAAGGGGAAAGGGCGGGGAGGGGGGAGCTGGTTGAGAAGTTATGACAGTCTAATCAAAGTGAATTGTCCCCCAGCCAATGCAATCCAATCACAGTGATTTAGGGGAGGGATGATGAAATAAATAAATAGAATTGCTCTCCTCATGGGTTGTCACTTTTCTCCACGTTTTGGCCATGAGGGCAAGGCATATTCCCCCCGATTGTTTGGTTTCCTAAGAGGAGATTAAAGATCTATGAATAATACTTCATTCTACCTGTCTTCATTCCAGATGAAAACTTCTGGATGGATCTGCCTGGAACTCAGCAGGGTTAGTCAACTCTGCCTGCAAACTTCATCCACTTACACGAAAAGGAAAACAGATACAGTACTTTTTCTTTTCTTTTTTTAAGATTCTCCATTATAGTCAATGAGGGCAAAACACAGCTTCAGACTTCACACATCAGATTTTGACCTGAATAATATATCATATCAAAATGACAGCGAATGGATCTGAAACATATTGGGCTGCTTCTAAACAACAGAGCTACACAAGGAGAAGGGGACGACAGAGAATAAGATGGTTGGATGGTGTTCTTGAAGCTACCAGCATGAGTTTGATCAAACTGCGGGAGGCAGTGGAGGACAGAAGTGCCTGGCGTGCTCTGGTCCATGGGGTCACGAAGAGTCGGACACGACTAAACGACTAAACAACAACAACACAAGATTAACCTTGTGGTCACTACACATCCCTCCCAGTTTTGGATGACAGGGTACCATCAACCCTGCCATAGTTCAGACCACATGAGATTCCTGCTCCATGTGCCTTGTTAATTTAACTAGCAGTTGACCTGCCAGAATTGATGTAAGGAATTGAATCCTGTTGGCAGGTTGGATTCTTATCTCACCCCCTGTGGACCAACCTGGACAGGTGACTGACACCGGTCAAAATTAAAAGGTGGCAACTGTAACCATTGGTGATTAGAGCAACCTTGTGTTAAAAGAAGAGAATTCCACAGAACTGGTGCCACAATACTAAAAGCATGTGGTCCAGTCACTGTTGTGCACTATTCCAATCCAGATTAAACACATTTTCAAAAGGATCTCTGAGAAACTCTAGGGAAAAAATTCTGTTTGGTATTATCTTTCTGTTTATGTTAATAATTCAGAATATAAGCAATCCCCACAACCAAGAACTTATACATTGACCACTAATAATGAAACATATGTTGTAGATATTTTCCCACATTTATTATGCTATTTTTGTGATAAAGAAATGACATGAGAAAACTTAGTATACTTATTTGTATAACATTATTCTTGTTTATAAAACCCAATAAAAACAATAACCAATCCCCCATCTCCTATAAATGGCTGCAGCTAATACAATAAAAAAGAAATATGTGCAGAGCTTCAGAAACTATGGTCTATTGGAAATCCAACTGATGCCCCTGGAAAATAAAGGATATCCAAGTCTGTTGTATTTCTGTTTTTATAGACTTGTTAGAATTATATCCAAAGTCAGGAATGTATTACTGATGTCTCTGCCCCCCCTTTCTGTATCTGTTAAACTATTTCAAACCTGTTTTTGATATGATTTTATTCTATAGTTAATTTTGCATTTTAATAAATAGAAATAAAAACTAAAAAGTATAAAAGGGTATCTGGTAATTGTTTGCATGGCTGTGAAAACAACTGATACATCTCTCTCTGTTCAAGGTTTGTAGAACTCTGTATTTGACAACATTCAGTGAATTCTTTGTCATGATCTTCTGTTTGCCTCTTTGCTAATTCTTCTCAGTGGAGGTGGAAAGAGGTTCCATTTGCAGCTTTGGAAGGTCTAAGTTAGGCACTAGCTTGCTGCTGATAAATCAAAGATTATTCGGTTTCTAAGAAAGTCCAATTTACCAACTGTCTATTGCTCATAGCATCAAAGATCTTGGGATCTTACAATCACAAGCAAGTAAAGGAAACAAGATTGGATGACTTGAGTAATGAAGTAGAAAAATTACTTCTTCTTCTTTTGAAAAATTGTTTCCCATTTATCTTCTATATCAATGTTAACACTCCAAGCCAGAGATATACAGGGTCATTTATCCACTGTAAAATGATCTGTTTTCACTGCTTTGTTTCTGACTTGACTGTACTAGTATATAAATTGTATTCTTGGAGGAAGTGGGGTAATCAAGATGCAAGCATTTGCCTAATGCCTTTTTAAAAGGAATATTTAGCTTCTAAATTCTATTTGGCATCTTTTTAATCACATCTTTGTTTATGTTTTACGCTGTTGTATCCAGAACAATTCCACACACCCCTGTAAAATTCAAGTTAGAAAGGGGGAGAAAGAAGGAAATGGTGAACTAGAGATGGGTGAGATGAAACTGCAGTGTTGCTTGCTTCAATTAAGAGGTTCACAAAGACACAGATAAATTTTTATCACCTCCTTTTGTCCTTGAGTCTCCACCGAAGAGAATTATTATTTCAGCAGTTGGAAAGCCACATAATCAGGACGTTTGCATGATGCAGATGAACAGAGGATTAGACATTAGCGTCTCGAGGAAAATGAACTCAAGGAAAAGATCAGCATACAATGCATCGATTCCCAGGGCAGTCAGCAGAAAATGAACATATATTGACCAATGAGTGGAATAATAGCTTTGTTGACAAGCTCATAGGAGACATTCAATCTCTACACCAAGTGGGCAGAGCAGTGGAGTTGGAAAGAAAATGAATCATCGGCTCTCTTCCATTCACCATGGCCGCTGTCCTTTGAAATATGGGATAGAGAATAGCACTGGTTCTCGCTAGTTCCTCTGGCCATTATTCCCAACCCCAACCCATCAGACGTAAGAATCACCAACTGATAGAATAGTCCCAACAGGATGCCTTGGTATCTAATTGCAGTGCTTTGAGTACTCAGTTGTGCTTAGAAATTCCCATTAATTAAAAACAGTAATTGAAATACCACCTCCTGGGAAATAAGGCATAATCCTGTAGGGGTTCTGGATGCATTTAAGTCAGGAGGGGATGTTGGCTAGGGAAGAGGGAATCAGTAGTTTATGGACTGTGTCATAGTTGATTTAGATATGAGATATTTTGCCAAACAGCAGGTCCTTACTTTCCCTAGTTTATTGGGGTTAATGCCTCCCTATTTTCCACTGCTTTGGGTTAATTTCTCCAATTCCTTCTCCCTGCATGGGGTGGAATCTATACTTAGCAAGTCCTTATCTTCTGCAAGGTGAAGAAAGCAAAAGCCCTACTAGGAATGGGAGAGGAATTTGATTCAGTTTGCATTTAAAGGTGAACCTAATTTGCACAATATGAGAACCAAAACACAGCCACCCATTGCTCTGTACTTTGCAATATAGTTATGTAGTCCAATTATGTGTACACGTATACGTAAAACTGCATATATTTGGGAAAGCTGCTTTGCCAAAATTGCATACGAAATTGCATACAAACTTGTGTATATTAGGAGAAATGAGCAGTAAAATCCTGGTGAATTTTCATGAGAACAACTCATTCTCTCTTTCTCTTTGTGCTATTTTCTGATGAAAAAACAAAGAAAAAAACTATTGAAAATAAAAATAAATAGCAGTTAAATGCAAACACCACAATGGAGACCATTTTTCTCAGCTGAGAAAGAATGTCAGAACAAAAATGTCTTCCATTGTTTCTGGAAAGTACAGATAGTGGGTGCCTGTTAAGGCCTGGTCCAAGTTACTGATATTTACAGTGGTTGCAAGAGATGCATTTTCCCCTGTAACCACCTCTTGTACTGTTACTTTGCAAGTTGGCAGCAAACATTAAATTGGGAATTCCAGTACTGTCGTTGACAATTTATATTTCCTCTGTGTGGTGTAGGGCTTATATCACACAGAAAGAATAAAACCTAGACATATTGGTTGTGTATGTGTTTGTGCTAAAAAGGAGAGCTTTTACAAAATAACAGAACTAA